AGGAATCACATAAATTTCTAAGCAATATCGACCGCAAAAACAATTGCTGTATTCATTTTTTTATTTGACCGGAAGAACTACTTTTTTGCGTTGTATTTCTCATTTGATTACTTTTTAATATTCTTGAGATTTATTTAATTCGTAAAATTATCCCAAATTCAGTTTATATAATTAAAGCATATCAATTAACTCTTTTTTAATAATTTATTAAAATTTCCATTACCTACTTAAATTTAGAATTATTCTATACACATAAAATTTCAATCAGATCAATTAATTGAAAATTTAAGTTGGTAGGTATTTTATTGTAATCCCAAATACAGTAAATCAAGCTAATTCCAATTTGGTTTGTATTTTGAAAATTTATTGTTTTTTCTTATATTGTATAACAATCTATATAACATGTTTACCTCTAGTTCAAATGGGTTTCAGTTCCAATCGCAATTAAATTCAAGCATTTTATTTGATTCGTTATTTTACTGTATTCTTTAAATTTACTTTGATTAATTAAAAATTATGAGTAATTATAATTCATCTTAGCTTTAGATAAATAAAATTAAAACTAGACTTTGTAATTTGTTATGTGTTTATTAGAAATTTTATTTAGCAGTAAACCTAATTTAGTGCTCTAATTTGTCTCTAATTGACGTAAGGAATTCATTAATTGATTTAATTAATTAAAAACACATTGTTTTATTACTTACAAACAACAATTGGACATACTCGTAATAATCCAATTTAAATTTATTTCTTCTTAGTAGGTATGTATTTACATTTCATACACAAGGTTGCAATTTCTAACGTTCTAGTAAATTAACAAAGAAAAATTTTAATGTGAAAAGATAATTTAATTTCCTTGTTCGAAAAAACAATAATACAAAATTATTTAAAAAAATTGCTAAAATTCCACTTTGTTTGAATTTTAAATTTATTTTACGTTTAGGCATTGAAATCAGCTTGGATTAGGATTAATTCAGTTTTCTTTTTTTTTGGTTTTTCAAATTTAATTGCAATTGTTTACGTTTTTACCTGATTCACTTAGTCTGAAATTAAAAAAATAATTCAACTTCAAAATAGTAAACAATTTATGCAATTATTTTAATTAGGTGCAAAACTTTGAAATGAATTAATTCTTCTTCTAATAGAAATATCTAATTCAGGATTTCTTAATTACGACTATATTACAGTCTTCTTAATTATAGTCAAATTTATTATCCTTGCTTTAGTTTAATTTAGACTAGACTTTGTAATTATTGTAATTCAATTAGTTTAAGTTAAAGTTAAATTATTTTGTTGGTCAAATAATTTCTGTTAACACTTAATTATAATTGGGACATTAAATAAACCGAAATTAATTAACGAAATCAGGAGTATAATCCAGCAATAAGCGATAAGAAAATACCCGGAGAGCAAAGGATCTGAATGAAAACCAGTTGCTCTTAAAAGAAATTCCAATTCGATTTCGGCTGTATAATCATAATAATCAATAATGATAATTTACTCGTATAGTTTATACATCGAATCGAATATTTTTTCGATTTAACTAGTCTTTATGTAAATGTGCGGTGAATGAACAGCTGAGAATGTGACAAAATTACCGCTTTGAAATTCAAAATTTCCACGATTTTCCAAAATATCCAGATTGGAATTGCGTAACTCTAAGTGTAAAAAAAAAATGATATCGTCGTCGGAATTCATGTTCATTTGATATAATAACAATAAAATGACCCGGTTAGGTTGGTATTTTCGTCTCGAAGTCGTTCATTGGTCGAAAATGGCAGGTGGAACATGTTGAATATCGGCCACACGCTGGAGCGCATCCGAAAAACACCTGCCACGGGATAATCCGTCGCCTTTCTCTCCACCATCGAATATTCATAAGAGACTACCACTAAGTATTAGCTTAACATCGACCAATTAACGCCCGGAGTTTGACTTAAAAGCCCGGGATACCTTATTTAGGTCGAATACGAGATGGGTTCTAATTAATTTTCAGCGAGCGAATTAAGTACACGCATGGCGAGGTGAACTTTTTCGACGAATATAAATGTACTTTTATGGATAGCGTACCTGTCAAAGGTGGCAAGAAAAATGATGCTACGCTTTTGAATAAATCGCAGGAAATGATACATCACCTTGACACAAGTATTCGGCGGTTGTACTTCTTTGGAAGGTTGAGGACAACACGGATTGGATATTGAAGCATTTTTCCCGGAATGTTTTTGACGATTCCATACAAATTTCGAAAGTAATAAAAAAAATGATGAACTACTCAGAATATTTGAATTCCAGTGTTATTTCTACTGTTATTTATAAAAACTGGAACTAAAAGATTAATTAATTTAATTATAAATTTGAACTGAGTCAAAAATTGTAAGTAGCTAATTAGAATTTTTCTTCTATTTATTTATTTCGATTTTGGGTAATAATTAGGACTACTTCCTTTTGAAAATTTCGGCATGCATTCGGGATATAACTACTTAATATTTAAACTAAAATATTTACCTCTGAAGTTAATTACAGCATAATTCTAATTTAAAATAAAATTTAAACTGGAATTATTACAAATAATTGTTATGACTCTTAATTAACCCAATGGTGGTGCCGCGCAGGGGCGACCAAACACACATTCGTAGTGAAAAATAAGACTTTAGTCCTTAATCCAAAAATAACTATTACTTATATTACATTTGTTTGAGAACTGCTGCTTTGGCTATAACAATGCCTATTAGTGACCATTATACCTTACTGTGTTTCACCGTAAATCATAATCATGACAACCAATTTATTATTAATTATTCAATATTTGCAATACTTGGCTATAAATTTAAAAGAAATAAAATCATTCAAATCTACTGGCAATCATTTTGTTAGAAGTGATTAAACAGAAGATCTTCGTATTTTGATAAAAACTAAGATAAAAGCAAATGAAATGATAACAATGCCAAACTATGATGCACCTATGAAGTGACTTTTATCTTTCGTTGTCGTGTATACGATTTTCTTAGTTTTTATACAACAATATAATTTCTTAACACAATTTAACCCGTCACTCCAAACTTTTACTTCTAACACGACTTTTTTTGTTCTTACCTGAGGATGACCACTTTGGGGTTGAAACGCGTCGTGTTAGAAATAAAAGTTTGGTGTGACGGGTTAAATTAATTATGTTTTGGTTTATCATTCCCTTACCAAGAGGATCCAATAAGAAGTACTCAAACCTTGTACTAATATTTTGGATTCGTAAGAATTGTTAATTCTTATAAGACGAATTTGTAAGTTGTTTTCTCGGTTACACTATTTCTGCACTTTTCCACTCTTCTTTTACTAGGTCAATTTTCAACTCCAAGACTTCGCCTCGGCTTAGATATACAGGGGTGTCAGAACTTCTGTCTGTCAAAAAAATTGACATTTATTTTTTGACATTTGACATTTTTTATGTCTATTTAATGATACTGATGATCTTGTGTATGTTTTTTTATAATTATTTAGTAAAGGTACAAAAATTTTACCAATTGCAATTTAGGATACAGCTTCCTTGTTTCCCCTTTTAATAGCCTGTAGCAAAAAAACTTGAAAAATTATTTTTCCAACAGAAATAAATGAGTCAAAGTGCAAAATGTAAACTCTCTTCGAAATTTTTATAGATAAAATTTTTTGAACATTATTTCCATGTTCCTGGAATCTTATCTTACATGACATTTTTCTCTGGGGCGCGAGTTCTGGTGCAGCCCTGTATGTATAGGGGAAAAAATGACATTTTTAAATTATTAAAAAAAAAGGTGTAGCCGAGACTACTAGTAATTCTTTTAATTGTATTTGTATTTTTGGAAATAATATCATTTATAATGAATTTAATTAATTAATTGTTGATTACGCCAACGTAATTTTTCAAAATGCTAAATTTTGTAAATTTTAAAACTTTCCTTTTACAATTATTATACCAACACACTGTACTTATATTCTCATTACTTGACTTGTTTTAAGAAAAATGACAACTAATAAAAATTCTACCTAAACGAAGCAAAGCCGAGAATCCAGAAATTAGTTGTTATTCAAGTCATTGTATTTCTGAATTTTTAAGATAAAAACAAATTATAATAACTGTTGAAACACGACTTTAGACAATAATGTTAAATGAAGCTAAAATACAAAGCAAATTATAATTTTCTAATTGTAAATATTTAGACAAATTTTATGCGAATCACTAAAATAACAATTGTTAGTTAAAAAATAAAATAAAATTATGCGTCCACCTTCAATAAATCGTCTAATAAATAATAAAAAAAAATATCCAAATCACGATTACAGAAATAAGAGCATTATAATCTGAAATTAATTAAATGCGATGTCAAGGTTACAAAAATATAAAAAAGTTCAGTTGCATTGGTCTGAATTCAGTAAAAAAGCTGATTAAATAAAAGAGAAAAGTCTGAAATTTCAGTAAAATTATGTGCATTTTAGTTACAGTTTCAATAAATAAGCTGATATGAATTAAGAAAATGTTAATACAAAAATTAAGAATAAACCCATTTTATCCGCAAACGTTACAAAAGTGACTCTTTTATGACTAAATGACATATAAAAGCTTTACCATACCAGCTTTACCAGACATGGAGTAGAAACTTTGTTTTTACTTTTACAATGACATTTACCAATGTTGTCTTTTTTGCTGCTTTAGCATTTTCTGGGGAGGTACATTGTAGATTTTGCACTACTAACTGCACCAGTCAGACTCAGCTTCGCCACATAAACTATCAGTTTTACTCCTAATGACATAAAATACTAATAAAAAGCAAATATTTTTATTTCGTTTTTGTTCAAATTTCTCTGTAAACCTCGCCTCGAGCTTTTTAATCGAGATTTTGTCCCACTTTCCGGTGGTGAATAATGCATCAGTCTGAGAGGCGTTTTGTGTTTCGAATTCCTCGATAACTCAATAGCGGCCCTTATGTCAGGTCAGGAATGCGTCAGCGTATAATATATCTCTATTGTTGCAGTTGAAAGCCGCCCAATTGGAATGGAATCACAATTGGCAAATTTTGAACGAGAAAAAACTAACAATGGACGAAACTCCGGACCAAACCCTGACCCACCCTTCACGCCATCAAAGACTCCTCAAGAAACACGTCCTCGATTTAGAGAAGACTTCGAAAGTTCTCCATCGAGAAAACGAGCGATTGAAGACTCGCTTCCTGAAAGTGGAGGAAGAATTAGATCTGTTGCAAAAATACGTCGAGAATAAGGATCAGGTCTACGACAGGATCAACGGCAACGAAATCCAGGACTACATAAGCCGGGAGCGAGTCAAGGAAGTCGGAAGGGACGAGTTTGCTCGCCGGCAAGCGAAAAACACGGAATCTATTGCGAATTTGACTAAACAAATGTCGAATTTCGACAAATTACATTTGTCGATGTTGGAGCTGCTCGAAAACGTCGAAAGTATCGAGAATAAAGTCGATGTGGGTCTCCCCGAGTTCCGGAAAGAAATCTCCAAATTGGAAATACAAATCGGCGATGCAGTTTCGCAGATTTCTTTGTTAAGGGAAGATCAAACAAATACGCGACAATCGGTTAAAGCCATCGGGGTGAGCGTGTCCAATTTGCAAGATAAAGCCGAAACGGAGCGAAAACGAGTGAAGAAAATCGAAGAACAGGTCGGAAGTTTGACCAAAGCGGCCACAATGCAAACGGCCAAGCTACACGATTATATTTTGAAGGTGAGAGCGTGTTTCTATTTAGAAATCAGGGTTGGGCGGTTTAATTTTTAATTAGGTTTTTGTCGAGAATCAGATGGGGAAAAAATTAATGACGTGGCGTTTTAGTTTAATTGCGGTTTTGGTGGTTTATTTTTAAATTGTGCTACAGTAGCAAATTTACGAAAAAAATACTAACAATTTGTAAACTTGAATTAAGAGAATTAGAATAACAATTAGTTTGGTTTTAAAACTTGCAACAAAGACAAAGTTCTAATTAAATAGTCGAATTAGCATGAGTTAAGCTGCACTGGATTATCTTTACACAAATCGCATTAGAGAACTGCAGATAATTGCTCTGAAATAAATTATGGGAACTAAATGGTGACATGAAATTTATCATTATCAGTCTGATTCGGGTTTTCTAATTAATCCTAATTCTCGGGGTTTTTGTCGCTTAATCACATAGTTTGCTTGCTACTATGGGTACTACATACCAAGTAAGGAACCAAAAGTTTTTTGCTTAAACTATTTATTTTTTGGAAAAACTAATTGATGAATGATAAAGTATGTACTATAGAAATGTGATGTTATATCAAAAATAAAATTTTTCAAAATTTTCATTCGTTTTTGGGTTCTAATTTTTTTTTAAATGACAAGCCACTATAAAACAATTTATTCCATGAAGGTTATGATCTAAGGATTACAACTAGGTAACTCCTTTATTTTTAATTAAAAAAAATATCATTCATTCAATCACAATTTTTTTATTACTTTAATTTATATTAATTATTTTCTGGAGGCAAATGATTTAAAATAAAATCGTTTGGTTCCATACTTTATGTCCAGCCTGTTTGTTACATACATATTAAATTAATTTTAAACCCAGATTATAGAACACAATGAAATCAACTTTAATTCGCGCTTTAGTTAGTTTAGTTTAAAATTTAACTTAACAAAAAGCTCGGTTAAGTTTTAATAATTACTGTTTAAATTGTAATAATAATAATGTAAATAAATTAAAGGAAATACTGTGAAAAACTGTAGCTTCTGTTAAAACGTTTGAACTTAAATTGCAATTTAAACTGAAGCACGAAATTAAATTAAATCTAACGGGTGAATTTTTAATTCAGAAATGAATTTAACTAATTAAAAAGTTGTATGCAAATTCAAGACTATTATCTTAGAAAAAATAAAATTATTCCCTGAAATTTTATTTCCCCCGTTTTTGACTAATAAGTCAGTACTTTATTCCTTCGCTAATAAACTAAATGAAATACCGAATGAATGAATTGAATCTTTTGTCTTTTTTGACATAAACAAACTCCTTGATACCGATTTTTCTCTTAAAATTGCAGTTGAATGAATAGTATATTTTAACAAATTTATCATTTTTTGTGTTATTATCAATTTAGTCTGTTGGGAGGAAATTTTTGTAAGCATCTCTGCATCGTTAATTATTCGAAGGAAGATTACCTAAGTAGGTACATTCTCAGGATTAAAAGATTTGCTTATTCCCTTAGTATAACTAAATAACAAGCAAAATCTACAGTTAATTATGAAAGTGAATTAATAAATCCTGAATTACGTATTTCAGAATTAGAAAAATGTGAGTTTCAGTATAACAGTCCAATATAGGACTAATTAATAGAGGTTGAAGTATAATTAAAAGGGTTGAATAAATTTCAGTTTTACTTTGAAGATGAATTAATTTTTTAGGTAAAAATCACAATCAATTACAATTTGATTTGAAATCCACCAGTAAGCTAAAATTAGAAATTAAATGCAATCCAACGATTTCAATAGATAGAATAAATCTGAAATTCAAAGAAACTAGTTGCACTAAGATAATATATTTAGTTTTTTCTCTGACTACAATTAGATGCGATTTGAAATTGTTCAAGGAAGTTTTTTTAATTCAATTTAAAAGGACAGTCAATTAAAAACCAATTTTATTGTAAGTTATTCAGTTAATGATAATTAGATAATTCAGTAAGTAATAAAGAACTGGTTTAACGCCTATGTTTATTTTTATAAAAATAAAAAAAAAGAAATTCTGTTAAGTATTTCTTAATTAGTAATTTAAATTAAAACAGTTACGAATTAAGTAGGTAATAGCACTGTATTTTAATAAAGAAAACAACAACAATAAATTTAAATAACACAAGCAACAAAATAGTACATACTGGGCGGTGAACAAAAAGTATGGAACGTGGAACGAAACGTTTTTTTGCTTAAACCTTATTTTTTTTGAAAAATATAATTAATGAATGATAAAGTATACTATAAAAACGTGATCTACTTTTATTCAATTTTTATCAAAAAAATATAATATAAAATGCCATTTTGAAAATCACACAAGACAAAATTTCATTTCCAAAACACATTTTTATATCACTTTTTTTATTAATTATTTTCTGAAGACAAAAAACAGCTTGGTTCCATACTGGTATATAAATTGTTACATTTAATTTTTTATTTATGTAATTATTTTGCTAATAGAATTATTAAGTAATTCCAATTTGAGAGTTATTAAAATTAATAAAATTATCTGAATAAATTAATAAAATGACCTGAATTTGTTTATTGGAACAGGTTATTATTTTTGCCAATGATTGTATCCTTACTCATTTATTTTGGCTTTAAATTAATTAAGTTAGACAAATTAGAGTAAATTATTGTTAAATTTGAATGCAATATTTCAGATTAAATTCAATAATATAAAAATTTAAATAATTAGGTCCTATAAAAGTTGCATTGAAATTAATTATCGAAATTGGTTGAAAAATAAATAAGACACACAAAAGGAAATGAATAATGTTTTCATTATGTTGACACACATTGAGATAAAATTTCTAAAGCTAGCATTACTGCAATTTTTTTAAAATTTTTAATCCTCACGCGTCCCTTTATATGTTCTACGTAATTAAATATTTCATTACATTTTAAAATAAACACATTGCAAGCATTTTTTCCCTCTTTATGTGTAATAACTCTTTATTACATATCTATTTCAGGTCACTGTTAGTAATCCTTGCAACCATTCAATATATTCAACATCTGTTAATAACGGAAGAATTGACTCGCAAACCTTTATCCTAGCATTTTAGTTGACATTTCATTAAATTTTCAATTAAACTCTCTCCTTTGTGTACATCGAGCACTTCTCATGTGTACCTATATGAGACATGCGAGTTATTGTGAACAACTCGCTTTATCTAAACCCGAACCGACATCTTTCACAAATATTTAATTAAAACGTCGTGATTCCAGACCGAATCGTCGACACTCGACACCAACCAAACCAAATCGACCATCCACCTCGTCCAAGAGCTCAAATCGTTCGAAAACGAGTACAAAAGCATCGTCAATAAGCTGCCGCACGATTGCGGGGCTGTCTCGGGGCCCAGCGGCGTCTATCTCATATCTCCAGGGGATGGCGAGCCCATCCTGGCCTACTGCAACGACGGCTGGACCACCATCCAGAAGCGCTACGACGGCTCGGTGGACTTTAACCGAAACTGGAACGACTATTCCAACGGTTTTGGGTCCGCCACCGGCGAGCACTGGCTAGGCAACAGAAACCTCCATTATTTGACGAAGAAAAACTGCACCAAACTCCAGATCAACATGAAGGACATTTACGGGAAGTACTGGCAAGCTACCTACGACGAGTTTAGCGTCGGGGATTACAGCATGGGTTTTAAACTGGTGGTGGACAACTACAGCGGGAATGCCAGCGATGCGCTGGATTACCAAAACCATATGGAATTTTCGACGATTGATAATGATCGGGACATTTCGAATACTCACTGTGCTAGTAATTATGAAGGTGGGTGGTGGTTCTCCCACTGCCAGCATGCGAATCTGAATGGGAGATACAACCTGGGTTTGACATGGTTTGACAGTTCGAGGAATGAGTGGATCGCGGTGTCGAAAAGCGAGATGAAGGTGAAGCAAAGAGAGAACTGTTGAATTTTTCCAAATATTTATTAATGTTAACCAGTGTATGCCATGCTATAGTTGTATTTAGTGGATTGGAAAGACTGAAAATTTTGTGGTTTTTTTCGATGAGTTTTTTTTTGCCAGTATTTACCAAAGATGACTAGTTCATTCGAATTGTTAGGTTTAAGCGCACACTTTTGAGATAATGTCGTGTATATATTTTATTTATTCGTATGCTTTTTTACTGCCATATAGGTTTTTACAATTGTATATAGTAGTATTTATTGTAATTTATAATGTTTGACAAAGATAGGGATAATTTTCCACTTGGATGGTTTATGTAAATATACTTAGGTCAATACCTTTGTACCAATGATTAGTTTTTTAATAAAATAAAGTCAAGTAAAACTCCAGTGACGCGTTTTATTACAGCAATTTAAAATTAATTAGAATTTAAAAAAATATAGAATTTTTTTAGTGATTCAAAGCATATAGGGAGAACTCGCGCCCCAGAGAAAAATGCCCAGATAAGGTACGATTCCAAGAACATGGAAAAAATGTTAAAAAAATTCTATCTATAAAAATTTCGAAGTTATAAGAGTTTAAATTTTGCACTTTGACTCGTATTTCTTTTGGAAAAACAATTTCCCAAGTTTTTGTGCTACAGGCTAATACAAGAGGAAAAAATTTGTGGCTTTTATTGGCAAAGTTTTTGTACCTTTACTAAATAATTATAAAAGAACGTAAACAAGATCATCAGTAACATTAATTAGATAAAAATTCTATCTGACAAAAAATAAATTTTTTAAACATTTTTTCCATGTTCCAGGTATCTTATCGTACTTGAAATTTTTCTCTGGGACGCGAGTTCTGAAACACCCTGTTTATTTTTTCAAAAATTTGTCCGAGGGAGAAATTAAAGTAACATTATTAATTATATACATTTACAGTAACGTTGACTTTGAATTAAGTTTCGGTTGTAATTGTGTGTAATTAATTAAAAAAAATATTTCACTGTGCGAACCCTACTGCTGTTGAAGTGGTTAAGTTAATTAATGTTTATATTTAAGTTTATTTACTTGACAGCCTAGCATGTAAATAGACTCCATTTCTTTATTGTTTGGATTATGTTACATTTTTTTACAATTTCTTTATCAAAGATTTGTTAAGGAATGGAAAAGTTAAATTATTGAAATATTTATAAAATAAGTTCAAAGAAATATAATATCGGATGTGCAAAAAAACCCGAACAGATGGGTTACGTATAACCGATAATTTTTATACAAGAAATTGTGACGTTTAATAAAAACGAAAATTTTTCGAAATTTTCTTTTGTTTTTGACTTCTGCAAAATTTTATTTTTTTTAAAATGTCAACTCACTATATTTTTTTTTTTACACAGGCTATTATCTAAGAAGTAATCCTTAGTAGATAGATGTAAAATTATCATCATTTTATTCAATTTTTTTGGAAAAAAAATTTCATATAAATTGGTACTTGGACATTTTGACAGAAAAAATCGCGAAACTCAAAAACAAAACAAAATTTCATTCTTAAAACACGATCGCAAGTTTTTTATTAATTTTCTGGAAACAAATGATTCAAAAAAACAGCTTGGTTCCATACTTCCTATTCACCTTGTAGGTACAAACGAGTACTGTGAAGACTTACTTTTCAGAGGAAACGCTTAAAATAATAAAAAAAAAACAACAATATATTCCAAGAACACCCTTTTACCTTAGGTAGATGGTGATCTAAGTATTTTGTAAAAAATTAAAAAAAAAGCAAATGTTGCAATAACTTATTTTTCGAAAGATATTAGTTTACCCCACTCTAACATAATAAGGTAATTTAAATGTTGCTACATGTTAATGCATAAAGCCTGACTTTTAAATTCATTAAAAAATAGTTAAGCGGTAAAATTTTGAGCAGTTTTTTATTTATTAAGTTGTAAAATATAATTATCTTTGCTATCCTTTTAAAGATTTAATATTTATTATCGAGTCTTTTCATGGACTTCAAAAGGATGTTACAGATTTAGGAATGTCTTGGGCAATGTAATTTTTATACCTTTAAGTTTGTCCGACCTTATAATAATTTAATCGGTGTAATTTGATTTGATTTAGTTTTTTTTAGTTTCACATTTTTGTTCACCTTGTACAAATCTCTCAAAAAAATTTTCAAAAAAACCAGTACCAAAACTTCGCTTTCACTAAATAAAGACCATGTAATAAAATGGATTGATTGTACACAAAAAACATAAACAATTAATTAAATCGAATTTAATAACAGTTATAACATCAATGTAAATATTAACCAAACACTAAAGTTAATTTCATTTAATTGATTTGACATTATTTTGAAAACCAAACAGAAACAAATTTATTCAATTTTGAAACTTTTAATAATAAATAAACAAATGTTATAGTCGCTTCAAGAATCAAATTAAGCAAAAAAAAAAAACAATATTTTTAATAAAAATAAAGCTGAATTTAATTTAGGTAATTTATTACAAAAATATTAGTCACTTAGTTCTAAATCAATTGCCATTTTGCACCACATTTTCCTCTGGCGTCCTTAACTGCAACTTACTCAACAACTCATTCAACTTCTCCGCTTTCCTTTCCTCATTTTTCTCGATAATTGTACACAAATGTTCGGTCAACATTTCCTTCTTCTCTTGTTTCTGATGCAAGAGCAGTTTAGCGTCTAGAAATTCCTTCTCGATTCTGTTATATTTTTTCCTAGGAGAAACACAATATCACACAAAAGCACACTCAACATAATACCTACTGGCACTCCATGTATTCAACACTGGCAGCTTCAATCTGCTTACGCAGTATTTTCACGTCGCACGATAACAAATCGTCCAATTTTTTAAACTCTTCCTGGATCTCGTTCAGCCTCTGCGCTTCTTCCTGAGTCTGGCGTGTCCTGTCGGCTAGAGCTTTGGCTAAAAGCTCTTTGCGTTTCCGGTTTTGTTCCTCGATGAGTTTTTGTCGCGCTTCGAACTCGTCCAAATCCTTGAACTTTCTCTCACTTTTCGCATACTCTTCTGAAATTTCATTCTGTGGATTTGCATCCTGCGTTTCCGGTTTTATTGCACTATTTACATTATTTTGTACACTTAGTTTGGCATTTTCGGGTAATTCTTGAGGCAAGTTATTAGTAATATTATTGAGAATTGTTTTAGTTCGCGTTGTGTTAGGTTTAAAAGTTACTTTCTTTGATGCAGTTTTATGGGAACCTTCAATTAAAACTAATTAATAAAATTACAATTTTAATTAGTTTGTACCTTTCTGTGGCTTATTAACGTCTGGAGCTTTTGTTAATTTCCGGATATCATCTTCGCTAAATCCCGAAAATGACATAATGACGTTTTAGAGTTTTCAAAAACACACATTTAGGTTATTTGACAACACAGCAAACTGTCAAAATTAAATACACTTGATTGGTGGGGCGAGAGTGCATTAAACTTACGCTCAGCAAGATGTGATTAAGTCACGCATGCGCAAACCCACATAAATCTTTAATTTGACGATTTCCCTGAAAATGTTAAAACTCGAGGCTGGATTACCACTAAGATTATTAAGCATTAAAGAATTCGAGGTAAATTATAATTACGTCATTAACAACGATAATAATTTATTAATAAAATACACAACTATATTCCAACATAAATAAATTTAAGACTCATTTTGAGGTAAAACAAACGGTTTTATTTTTAATTCTTGATGTAATTCAAACAGAGGTTGTTCCCAACGCTTTTCAAAGAACGTATTTAACAAAAAATTGCTATTGTGTGCAGTCTCAATTGCCCATGGGAGGTAATACTTTTTGTATAAGTTACGATGCCTATAAGGTAATAAATAATAATTATGTTGTTGGTAATAATAAAAAAAATTAATAAAAACTTACTTTGGTTTTAGGCGAATTGGGCCAAAAATTGCCGCTCCAATGCACATTGGAAGCCTCAATTGGATCGCTTCAAACCATTTCACAGTCACTTCACCTATAAATATTTTCTTTTGAATAATAGGCAATATTTTAATCTCTAGTAATCGATGGAGTTATTAATTTTTTTCCTCCCAACAGAAAATTAAGTGAGGCTTTATTCTCTCGGGAATAAAATAAATTAGAATTAAACCAATTGAATCTTTGGAGTGTTTTTGTGAACTGAATATTTTGATAAATTATTTCACATTATTTGACAAATTTATCATTTCTTATGTTTTTATTAATTTAGTATGTTGAGAGGAAAGTTTTGTATGCATGTCTGGAATAAACATCGTTAATCCCTACATTCTCGAGATTAAAATAGTTGTTTATTCCCTTGACACATAAGTAACTATTTTAAATCTCTTGTTCTTCTCGAAAACAAGAGTGATTCCAGATGCTACGCAAAATTGCTATAAATTTTCTTAATTATTATTATGTAAGTTATTACATATATTTAATTTATGTACCTATTCAAAAAATTCGTTTGAATTTTTTAGTTTTCCATTGGACAAAACCGATAACAATTTCAAAAACAACAAAATTTTGAGTTTTTATCACTTCACGATTAGAGTTCATCAAACCCAAAATTTAATCTTACTTTGAAAGTGTTGTTGTATATTCACTTTCACAACAAATGTTTTTTGATTTTATCATAAAATAAGGGTATCTTATCTGACATTAGTTGCATCTCATCTCTGAAAATATGTATTCCTTCTGTAATTAAACTTATAAACTTATAAACAATATGATAAAAAAATTAAGTTGTTAAAAACAAAAGTGTCAACAACTGCCGAGATTATTTACTAAAAATGTATTAGATTATGTGATTAGCTAAAAAATTACCAGTGTAACTAAACAATGATAAAAAAAACATCCACCTTAAAAAAAAACAAATACCAATTATGCGAATTCCAAAAAATTGATTTTATTCAGAATCATTATTACGAGTACTATAAATTACTATTTAGTAATATGCCGATTCCTAATCTCTCAGAGACCGGAAAATTTGTCCCTTCGTTTTGAAGGAATTTTTAAGATTACCAAAGTTACGAGGCTTTACAAATGACAAAAACGTAATTTATTTGCATAGCAACTACATAAATGTATCAACTTTGGCCAAAAAGCAGATAAATATCTGCTAATAAAATTATTATTTAAATGAAATGTATTTGTGAATAAAATACTAAACAAACTGGAAATGTCATTACCCCGATGGTTCAGATAACCGATCGGAAGGCGCAGCCGACAGAGCCCAAGAAGTACACCCGGGGAAAAAACTATTCACCAGTCTAACTTGGCCCTCACGTTGCGCTTTGTTGCAATAGTGTTTCAAACTAACTAGTTGAGGAGCACGTATAAAATGTTGAAAAACCCTTATTTGGGAAGTTGGTCTGGACTGGAGTCCTCCAGTTTCACACGTTTCTTAAAAACTGTGTCATGAAAAATTGCTTCAATGAGTTTGTCCCCGGATTGAGTTTACAGGAGGATTTTTTTTAGCTTTGATTATACGCCAAAACTGCAAAGGAAAAACATTTCTTGCTTTACCTTAAACGAGGAAATCTGTAATTAAAACTTTATTATTCTAACTTAATAGAAAAAAAGTTCATTTTTCTCTTGATTTTGAACTTATTTTTTATGAATTATTTTTCTCAGCATTATAAATCCCATCACACTGGCGGTTTTACTTTTTTAATAACGATATGACTTTGCCAAATGAGTTTACGCAAGTCAAGTAACAAAAACGTTTAAGAAAAATATAATTTTAATAAATGGCAATTCTAAAAAACAGCTTTAAGATAAAAAATATAAAGTTATTGCTTTGTTTAAAAGTAAAAAAAAATAAATAGAAAAAACGAAAGAAACTAGTTATTTATTAATAAAATTAAATGTAAAAAATCACAAAAATACAATGTTCTAATAATTAATGTAGTAGCCTTCGGCGTCAATGCATTCCTGCAATCTTCGTGGCATGGAATTGACTAAGGTTTCACACAAATTTGTTCGCCTTATTTGCCCCCAAACTTCATTTACATTCATGAAGATTACGGGGTCGCACCCCATTAAAGTTGTCGGTCCACTGCCGAACCATTTCAGCCCATAGATTTTCAATTGGGTTCAAATCTGCCGATTTGGCCGGTCAACGAATTGTTCGAATTTGATGTTGGTGTTCACCCCGAAACAAATTTTCGATTTCGGGGAGAAGATGGTTTTCAAGCGTGTAATATACGCTTGTGCATTGAAACGAGGAGGCGTGACCCTAACTATAGCACCTGGTCCTCCTGTATGCACCCATCCCCAAAATCCTGCAGAAATCCTTCCACTGCGCTTCACTGGCATCACATTATCTTTATGATACCTTTCGTTGTTTTTTTACGCGGTTTCATGTAACAAATTCAGTTACAATAAATTATGATGCATGTTTTAGATCATAGAGTTCTGTTACGCAGTATTTCATTCAAGTAATTCGTTGGCGGGCCAAATCGGCAGATTTAAATCCCATTGAAAATCTATGGGCTATCATGTGAATGAAGTTTGGAGACAAATAAGTCAAATAAATTTGGGTCAAAATTTAATCAATTCAATACTACGTAAATTGTACAAATTATCTTGATCGCTCGATATATAATAATAATAATTTTTCTCTGCTTTTTAAATCTCATTACATTGGCGATTTAATTTTTTGACAAGGATGTCACCTTGAAAATTAATTAATTAATTGAATAATAATTATTTTTGTTAAAAATAACTTTGTATTTTTTATTTTAAAGCTGTTTTTTAGAATTTCCATTTATTAAAATTATATTTTTCTTAAACGTTTTTGTTATTTAACTTGCGTAAACTTATTTGGTAAAGTCACATCGTTATTAAAAAAAGTAAAACCGCCAATGTGATGGGATTTATAACGCTGAGAAAAATAATTCATAAAAAATAAGTCCAAAATCAAGAGAAAAATGAACTTTTTTTCTATTAAGTTACAATAATAAAGTTTTAATTACAGATTTCCTCGTTTCAGATAAAGCAAAAAATGTTTTTCCTTTGCAGTTTTGGCGTATAATCAAAGATAAAAAAAATCCTCCTGTAAACTCAATCCGGGGACAAACTCATTGAAGCAATTTTTCATGACAGAGTTTTCAAGAAACGTGTGTCCTCCAGTCCAGACCAACTTCCTAAATAACGGTTTTTCAACATTTTATACCTGCTCCTCAACTAGTTAGTTTGAAACACTATTGCAACAAAGCGCAGCGTGAGCGCCAAGTTAGACTGGTGAATAGTTTTTTCCCCGGGTGTACTCATATATTTTCCATCTAGATTATACAGGGCGTTCCACCTAAGACTTTTGGATCTAATATCTCTGTTATTTGCCAGCGGATTCTAACGAAATTTAAAATATAGATAAGTTAGAAGGTAGAAATAAACATGGCATTACTAAAATAACCCTAGTCCTTAAAATATGATTTTAAGATGATATTAAAAAATGCTAAATTACTTAAAAATTTCATAAAAATGCCATAAGCAAAAATCTGTCCTTGAAAGAGGTCCTGCTTACAAGAAAAAAACATAAAATTGTGTTAAAAGTGGCTGAAGATGCAAAAACATAGGCGGCGATAAAAAAGAAGCCATATTAGCGACTTTGATGAGACGTTTATTGTTGTTTATTGTTTGTCAAACTTCAAAAAGTTAATAGCGTAATTTAGAAACTGCATTTTTTGGACTAACCAATTCAATACAACAAAAGATGCTCGTCGGTACCATCATTGGCATCACTGGTTCTCAAGATTCAAAAATTTACCACAGGTTTTTAGCATTGTACAAAATGGTACTTTTAGAGATGTTAAACTATTGTTTTAGAGTTAACTTTGAAAAAAAAATAGGTCAAAATTTTAACAACATAATCGCTGATTCAGACGAGTGATTTAGTTAATTTTTAGTGTAGAGGTCGATTTTTTAGTGTTTAATAGTAGTTTCGCCTACTTTTTAATAGTTATTTATTGTAAGAGTGTGTTAGGTAGCGTTTTACCAACGCAAGAATGTTTAACCGCGAGAACGTTAGTTCGAGCGGTTAATTTTCTTAAGAGGATAAAACGCGACTAACTAAGTAATACAGTTACTTCATTCCACTAGTGGATAAAGTGGTACTTGATACGCATCTAAAGTGTGGAATAAAGTCTCTTTATAGAGTGAGTACACTGGCGGATACGGAATTTTTTAACGATTTGTCATTCGACTGACATAAAAATGTAAAACGGGCTTTAGGCAACTAACCTCACTTTCGGTTTTTGTAATTTTTATCCTGATAGCTAGAGAAAAAATAACAACAAATCAAAATAATTTATTGTTTCAAAAAATCGACGCCAAAAATAAATTTCAACTAAAACTTTCAAATTTCAGTTTCAATCAGAATGACAATAAAGCGTGGCTTATACATTTTTTAAACTGACATAAATGTGATGTCCAAAATTCCGTGTCCTTCTAAGTTGCCTAAATTAAAAAAAATTCATAAAAATGCGTTGGTAAATAACACAGATATTAACCCGAAAGTTTTACGTGGGACACCTGTATAAATTTCTTCTATTAATTTGTACTTTTGTAATAATTTATAGATTAAAAAGCAAATAAATATTCTTAAATTCAGTTTTAGCAATTTCCAAAAATTATTTTTTCAATAACCTATAAAAAAAGCAAAACAATAGTCCGGTCAAATTAGTCATAAAAATAGTGGTCAAATAACGAAAATTCCGACAGAGCTAAATTTTGGTGAAGACCTTGGCTACACCATTAGAAATAAAGTGTCAAAAGTCCCCATCGATCCCATGTGTGCTAAAAAAGTTATTCGGGGTCAAAGGTCAATATTTGACGTTTTTTAGATTTTTTTCGAAAACGGCAAGTTTTATCAAAAAAGTAGCTCAGACGAAAATTATAGATCTTAAAATTATCTACAAAATGGTCTTTATATTTTTTTTCCAAGAATCACCATTCCTGAGATATCGCGATTTTAAAAGTTGAAGGAGTAACGTTCTACATCATATGCACATACAGAGTGCGCCAGAACTCGCGCCCCAAAGACAAATGCCATGTAGGGTAAGGTACCAGGAACATAAAAAAAAATTAAAAAAATTCTATCTATAAAAATTTCGAAGTTATGAGAGTTTAAATTTT